TGGTCAGAAAAGATGCTTGGTATTATTTCAATCTTCTTAAATTTATGGAGACTTGTTTTGTGGCCTAATATGTGATCAATCCTGGAGAATGTTCCATGTCATGCACACTTTTGATCAAACAATTCCATATGTAGGAGTTTATCCTAAGAAAATTATTAGAGATGTGCTTCAAGAGATGGTACAAAGTTGCTGCATTGTTCATAATGGCAAAAAATTCCTGCATCTATAAAAACTTTATCCTAATGTATCTATTGAGGTGTTCATATTTATTATATAGTTTAAGGGAAAAAAGTGGTTGCAAAACAGTATGATCCCGTTTCTAGCCCTGTCAGCAGCATCTGGCACAGCTGCTTCCTTCTTGAAACACTCTCACCTGGCTTTCTTGAATGCCCTCTTGGGTTTTCTCCCCTCTCATTGGCCTCTCCTCTCCTCATCTCCCTGTCTCTGAATGTTGGAGGGCCCAGGGATCAGCACACAGCTTCTTGGACACCTTTCTTCTGTATCCACACGCAACTCTCTAGGCCTAGGTGAGCTTCTATGGGTCTTGTGGTTTGAACAATCTACTACTGAAGATTCCCAGATTTCTACCTCCAACCTTGACCTCTTACCTAAATTCTAGACTTGGTTATCCAACTGTTCATTCAACAAGTCCATCTAGGTGGCTAAGCATCTCAAAATTAACATGTCCAAAACAGAATTCCTACTTTTACCCTCCAAGCCTGACCTCCCAGTTACTCAAGTCAAAAACCTTGACATCACACTTGACCTTGCTCTTTTTCTCATACCATACAGCCAGCGCTTCAGCAAAACATATTGTTCTACCTTCAGAATATATCCAGAATCGAGACGCTCCTCAACATCCTCTCCTCTGTCAGCCTGGTTCAGGCCCCCTCCATCTCTGGCCTGGATTGCTGGAACAGCCTCGAACTCACCTTTCTGCTTCTATCTGTGCCTCAAGTTAATCTGTTCTCAAGACAGCAGCCAGAGTGAGCTCCATCAGGCCACTTCTCTGCTCAGAATCCGCCAGTGGCTCCCCAGCTCAGTCAGAGTAAATAAAAGCCACAGTCTTCCCCGTGGCCTGAGGCCCCTACTCCCTCTCTGCCTCACTCATTGTATTCCAGACACATGGGCTTGCTGTTTCCCCAGAGTCCTCTACCTCAGGGCCTTTGTACTTTTGCTGCCCCCTCTGCCTGGAAGGTTCTTCCCTATGTAGCCATTATTCATTCTTGCACTCCTTTCAGGTCTGCTCAGAGATCACTTTTTCGGTGAGACCTTGCCTGATCTTGTCCCCATTCCCTACCTATCTCCCTTCCCCATTTTCCTTCAGACCTCATATTACCCTTCTGACATCCTACCTCTATGTTTATGTTTACCTCTATGCTATGTAAGCTTCATGAGAGTAGGGTAGGGACTTAATTGTGTTCCTTGCTGTATTCTCACATTTGGCAAATAGGAGTGCGCAGTAAATTTTCAATGCATGCATGAATGAATGAATGAATGAATAGGTCCCCTCTCAGAGTAGAAGCCAAAGTCCTTAGAGTGGCCTCAAGGCTACCTCACTGACCTCATGTCTTACCCATTCCCCCTTGCTCACTCTCTCCTGCCACTCTGGCTTCTTTACCATTCCCTGAACGAATGCTCCATGCGTGCTCCTGCATCAGGGTCTTTGCATCTGTGGCTCTGTCTGCCTGGAAACTCTGCCCCTAGGTATCCCTCACTCATCAGACTTCACCTTGCTGAGCAGCTCTCCCTGACCACCACACTGTCCTCTGCACTCCCCATCTCCCTCCCTCTGCTGTCGTTTTCTCATAGCTGGTACCACCATCTGCTCTGTGTTGCCTGCTCTGTGTGCCCCTGCCCCAGTAGAACATAAGCTAGTGTACGCATCACACAGCAGAGACTGCTCTTTTGTTCAGTTCATCGACATTCTCCCCAGTACATAAAACAGTGCTTGGCATACAGTAGGTAGTCAGTAAATATTTGATGAATGAAAGAATTTTTCATAAAAAAAGTCTGAAAGGATATACATTAGTATTTTAAGTTAGCTGTCTCTGGGTATTATGAATATGGATGATGATTTCATTCTTTTTGCATAGCTGTATTTTATAGTTTTCCTTACAATGATGTGTTTGTGTCACACCAACTGTGTAAAAAAGATTTTATATATTTGTGATTTTTTTCTCCCTCTCAGATAGGAGCGTGCTGCTATGTGGAATGTTCAGCTTTAACGCAGAAGGGATTGAAGACTGTTTTTGATGAGGCTATCATAGCCATTTTAACTCCAAAGAAACACACAGTAAAAAAAAGAATAGGATCAAGATGTATAAACTGTTGTTTGATTACATGAGAAACATCTTCAGTGGCCAAGGAAACTGTCCATTTCTCTCAGAAAGCATATGAAATGCTACAGCTATACCCAGACCTCTTAGAAATAATGAAGCAGTTTAAAACTTGAAAGGAAAAACAAAACCAACCGTGTCCTCAGAATTGTATAAACTTCATTAAGAATGTTTCTTAAAGGTCCAAGAAGCAGCAAAACGCATCTGAAGCCACAGTCTAATATAAATACTTTATTTCCACTAGAAGGTACAATCTCTCAGGGGTTTCATAGTTTAAAAAGCTACAATCACATCATGTTGTAACTATATAAAAAACAGTGCTGTAAATGGAACTGCCTGGCTTTCTGCACAGTCTTTATGGAATCTGCACAAAGAAGTATCTTCTCCCTCTGCTCCAATTAATTGTTCTTGTACGTAAGTTGCTTTCTATTCCAGTATATCCAGAGTGGTGAGATAACAAGGCCAGCCACGTAGCCGAAGGTCGCTCCAAGCGTACAGGAGATGGGCCAGACCTGAGGAGAGAATGTATGAGATCAAAACAGAACAAACGTTTTATTATTACTTGAGCACAAGTTAAGTGTAACCTAAATATTTCTATATTAAAGCTTAATGTGCTTTCTTAAAGAATGCCAAAAGTGTAATAAGGTCCCGACTGCATTTATCATGAACACTAAAAATGTACACAGTTGAGTTAATGTACATTCAGCTGTAACAAGGCTTCTGGCGATTGTAGACTTAGTTTGATGCTCCCCAGACTGCATGAGATACATGCTAAGATTACAAATTAAAATTGTGAGTCAGATTTTGCCATAATCCTGGACTCAGTTTAGCTCTCTGAACTAGTGGGTAATTTTGTTTTTTAATTTCCACATTGGCTTGTATATCAAATGAAATGAGAAGTGTGTATGCTGACCAAACCACAAGAAACTTTAAATTGTGTTAGAGAAAAGACCTAGAATTCAAGCATGTTATATGGAATTTCTAACAAAGCAACTGCTTCCATAATAAAACTGATGCCACCTTTCAGATATAGACATTGGAACCATAGCAGAAGTTATAGAACTACAACTTAAGTACACACCTAGAGTGTAAGTTAAATGAAATACTGGCTTCCAAATGCTCATTTTCTCCAGCCATATTACATTTCACAATATTACATCAAGCCAGAAGTAAATAATGTTGATATATTTCATCCACAAGCAGTGCATGTTGGTCCCTAGGTGAAAGGCCTTGCTTTAAAAAAAATTTTTCATGTTCACCTGTGAAGCTTGTTTGGTATAATGGAGCCATTTCTAATCTTTCTCTGGGGGAACAGGCCATAGAACTGTGTTAGAGGTGAACCATCTTAATTACTAGTTCTATTACCTACTTAAGGTTCCTTGTTTGGTCTGCTGTGGATCTGCCTTATTCCAAATGCCATGCAACAAACAATAGTGTTAGACAAAGTTTCATTGTGAACAAACTAATACAGTTCAGAGAAGCATAATCTAATCCATAAATATTTTCCAGCCTTTCCTACATTTAAACTTGCTGTTGCCTAAATTATGATTTCTTTATGTCTTTGGTGAGCTTCTGTTAATTTCTATGACTTGAGCTTATAGCTATGTCTATTGCACAGATTGGGTAATGGAACACTAAACTTTTATACTTGAAAATGACAGCCTTAAATGCTCATATCAGTCACAAATCTAGGATGTACTGTCTTGTATGTGAGCTTTGTAGAGATTTTTTAAAACATAGCATCATCTTCCCCATTGAAGAGTGGAGAGTCTACTGGATAACTAGTCAGGAGCTTCCTCTCTGAACTGGACAGTGGATGTCTTCTTTCTCCCAAGAAGTGGTGGTTCACATTAAGTATCATGGCCTCATGTATGCTCAAGTGGAATCTTATGTAACTTTTTCATTTACTTTTGGTCTGCTATTTTTAGATGGAATTGTATAAATCAATTAGTGTATTAGCTAAATTGTCCAACACATGGTATAAAGGAATTAAGACAGTAAAGTATTACACATTTCCAACTTGCCTTTGGGGATTTGATGGGGATATTTTTTTTCTCTCAAATTCACATCTCTGAAACTTCATCCTTGGTTTACTAGCCAATGAAAGTTAAAATCTAGAATTTGTCCTGCCCTAAAAGAAATGGACTAGAAATCTGCAAACAAAACCTCTGGTGTCACCTGTTTCTTGATTAAGCGTCAGATCCTCATCCATAAATATGGAAGGTAGAAGAGATGAACTCCAATCTCTCTCCCATTTATCAATTCTTATTATTCTTTTCTTTCTTATTCACAGTAATCATTGTTGGACATTACCTTTTCAGCTTCACATTCTTAAGATGGTAAAAATCCTGTATATAGATTATTAGAACTCTAAGCAAAGATGATTGTATCATCTGAACCTGAGGTGCCTTAGGTACTCTATTGACCTTGATGGGGTTTGGAGTCTCCCATTGCTTATTAAGAGCCTTTTCATTGCTTTGGTTTTTTGGTAGTTCTTTTTGCAAAATCCTTCCTGCCACTTTAACTAAAAACCAAAGATTTGTTTTCTATTCATAAGCAGATTGTAGAAAAACTGCCTTATTTTCAGAAGCACGTCTTCGTTAAACACTTAGGTTTCAGTAGAAATTCAGACTAATCACTGGAACAACTAGTTCAAAGTAGTGAAATATCTGGGAAATAAAATACTTCAAAAGTATCTTATTGACGTGAATTTTGCTAGTGAATGCAAATACACTGCTTCAAATAAGGACATGTATGAAAGAACTTAAACTTAGTTATTATTTTTGCATTTAGATAATCAGTTCTGCAAGTTCTTAAAAATAATTTTAGGGGCTCTTTGAAATCTTATTTAATACTTTGCTAACTTATACCCTTATTCTATCTCTAAAGGTACATTTTAGGTTAGCCCATGTTGAATTATCATATTTCCATAAAAGCCTGAATTAATGGTTTTTATTGTGAATTATCTTACTTTTGGCATTGCTTCCATTTGAGTTTTAATTATTAATTTTAAGTACCAAATTAAATACTGGTTTGTTGGTTGTTGCTTTTTAAGTGATTGTTACCTTAACAGTGTCCCATCTTAACACATGGGGTTACAAATAAAATAATATGCATAGTTGACTATCTATGTAAAGCACTGAACTTCTTACCTTAATAGTTTTTATTTAACACCTTTGTAAACATTCGGGATAATACTCTTTCCTGTTTCTCATGCTGAGTCTACTCATCATTGGCCACATGTGAGCACCTGTACTTTGTTAAAGAGCGTATTGTCAAAGTGTAGGGAGGATAATAATCCCTCGTGAATCTCAGCCAAATTCCAATTTGGGTTACTAAATTCTATTTTAATCACACTGTAATTCCAGTATGGCTCTTTGTTTCCAAACACATACATACACATTCACACACACATTCTTTAAACAGCTGCCATACTTCACCTCCAGTGGAATGCTAAAAATGAAGTAAATATTGGTTCAAAAGTTTTGTCTAACAAGGGGTTAAGGCTTGGAACACTGGCGTTATTCAGCGTCTCAAGAAATCCATGTCATCAGCAAATTAAAATGTTGGACTGGCTTTGAAGACTGTTTGCTAGTGATGATCAGGGGTTCCTGCTTGACTATCCTGAAATAAGTGGTCCTTAATTGTAACAGTCATTTTTTTATAAGAGAATTTCTTTATATAAGGGCAGCTTTCCTGATTTTTGTAGACCCAGCTAGGAAATGGCAAAAGAAGCAGTTGAAGGGAGTTGGGGGAGGCTGCCCACTAATAACCTTTCTTCAACCAATTTCCTACTAACCTTATAATTGCTTTAAAAAATTCAAAGCTATACTATGGCAACAGAATTCATATTGACTTGTCAACCAATCCTAGCTTAATCATGTATTTTCATAATTAGATCTTGAAGTTTTCCATTTAAAACTGTTGTCTCACATACTGAGATGGTTCTATTTAACATTCTTTATGCCACAAATAGGATTTTTAAAAAAAAACATGGTATCATCTATTGAACAGACAATTCAACTGCACCCCTCTAAATATTTCTCCAAATTATGGTAATCTGAGATGGCTATATATAATTATCTTATTTTGTTTAAGGAAAATAGAAAACTCAAAACAGACATTCATGTAAAGGAAGTCATTCACAAGCATCTGCCACCAAAATGACCGTCTTCTTTTTATCCAGTTTTTTATAAATTTAAATGATTTTTTAAAAATCACTAAAAAACCCTGTTGCATAACTAAAGATAATACAATGCAGGTGGTAAAATTAAGATTACTGTCAAAAAGAAAAACCTATTTTAAAAAATGAGTAGCTACACCATGTGAAGAAAGCATCTTGCTTAAAGTACTACTATTATTCTTTCTCTAAATCAAATGACTCCTTATAATGTATTTTTCATCACTTAAACCAAAAAAGGTCAGTGTTCTCTTAAAATAATCAGCATTAACGAAGGCCTAATATAGGGTCTGGGTACATGGTACCAGCAATAAGTTTTTTTTCTCTCAGAAATAAAACAATTTCACTAATAAGCTAAAAAAAAAAAAACCCTTAGTAATATAGATATACCTTTGCTTGTTTTCTTTGTTAAACAAATCAATATTATTGCTGGTTAAAAGACCTATTCAAAATTATACAAGCTTATCTCCACCTGAAGACTCTCTTCTGATCAGGCAGTACTACAGAACTCTGCTTACATTTTAGGAAAGGAAAATGTACTAATATATCTATGTAGTGTTTGATATTTTTCAAAGCATGTTTTAAGTAGTACAGAAGGGTGATTAAGAACACTGATTTTTGTATTAGACGATTTGAGACTTGGCTCTGCCATTTATTAAATATGTGACCCTGGGCAAGTCACCTAACTTTTCTGTGCCTTGGTTTCTCATCTGCAAAATGAGGATCATCATCAAACACCTCACGGGGTTGCTGTAATGATTAAATGAGATAATGCACTATGTGGTACTTATAACTTACCTATAACAGTATCTGGCACATAGTACAAGTGACCAATACATGTGAGCTATAATTGATGATAATCTTTTAGTTCATATTATTAATAGGCACATATGAAATAAGTTGTCATTATAATCTAGAACACTATCATTCCCCAAATACACCATCTCTAAAGCTGCTCCTATTAAAAAACTCCTGCCCAAATTTTAAGAACTTTAAAAATATTTTTTAAAAACTAATCTAAGAGAATGTGTTTCCTTCTTGTCAAACATGATCCATATGTATTGAATATAATTTCAGGGTTCACAGCCTTCTGAAGTCCATCTATGGAATCTTGTTTAAGAATCCCTGTACTCTTCATCACTGTACCCTAACAAGTATCTTATTAACTGTTCTAGTTGACCAAAGAAATACAGTGACCCTTTACATTTTGGTTTCAGAGTTTTAAGGATCAATTTCAATGATGTAAATGGCATTTGTTTGTTATGTGATTTGAGAATAAACAGTTTAAATACATTTTACTTAATGATAACATGCACGATATTATTTAGGTTC